ATCAAAAGTTCCGAGGGCAAGTCTTACTCTTTTTGTGTGTCTTTCGGAGACCCTAACACAGTGTGAACTTTATGTCTGCCAGCTGGGCCTCAGTTATTCCCCTAGAAAACATCGGCAATGTAAATGTCTTTAAGAACTAATCGAAATAATAATTTAAGAAGTTATGTAAAGCCTGGTGTGGATACTAGCACCTCAACTGTAACACTTCTAATTATGCGGAAAGAAACGAGAACAGGATATGAAGGAACGAATTTTGCATCCTAGTTTTCCCATCACTGGTCCAGATACCGGCATCTTGTTTTAACTATTTCATATTACAGAGTAAGGCCCTTTTATCCACTATTCCTTGAAAACCAATCAACTGTTGCAAACACCGATCAGAATTTATGCAAATGTGATCAAAAGAAACAATCGTGTGTTCTGTGTTTTTACAGGCATTATAAAAGCAGACATACAGTTTCTTGCGGTAAGGATCATTTTGATGTTTTCTGATACAACTTGCTAGATAAAGACAAAATTTAAAAAATGTTCAAAACATGATACAGACCCGGTCAAAGCAATTTCCCCATTTTAAGTAGACAGACATTTGTAAACTCCTGACTTCGTTCCATGCAAAAATCTACATGAGTGTCTGAAGTAACAAACGATGTCTTTCCAGGCTTTTGTCAAGGGAAAATAACAACCATTAAAATTTTACTCACAGGATTGTACTGAAGAGCAGAGACGTAAGCTTGTACTGCCCCTTCCATGTCACCTGCGGCTACCAACGCGGCGGCCAGGTTAATATAACCATCGATGAAATCCGGTTTGAGACGCAGCGCATGCCGGTAGTGCTCAATGGCTTCCTGCAACTGTCCTCTTTCCTTGTACACATTCCCCAAATTCGAATAGGCTTCTGCCAGAAGGGGGTTCTGCTTAATTGCCAGAGTGCTAAAGTGAGCAGATCTGGAAAAGGCGAAAAGCGTTGAAGGATGGGTGTATATGGCAGAGGGAGAAGGTCTGGCCCTATGTGTAACTGTCTCTGAAGGCCCTGCGCTATTACTAAGTTATGGAACGATCAAATGGGCTTTTAACCAGCGCATGGGGGAAAATTTTGGAAATCAAAGGTTTTAGAAAGTGGGGATATCCCAGATTTCCAACTGAAACGCTCCTGCTCCTTGTGAGACAAAATTCTTCCAAGACTCTTATTACAAAACTGCCACATGGTAAACCATGACCAGTAAGACCAAGAATGAAAAGGCCATGCGCGGCGAGTCTCACTTTGCGTTTGTTAAGACTTAATGACACACATATTTAAATGTGTAAGTAAGTCAGAAAGACAAGTTATTAAAAGGATAAGAACACGGATTCTTCCCTTTGGGTGAATTCGACTGAGCAGCCGGAAGGAGCGTGCCATAACGACTTAGTGATGGCCTTTGCAACTTGAACCACACATGCGCCTCGTACCACAGCACATACACCGCCGTTTCTGAGTATTCCATCCCTCGAGATGTCACATCTTACAAAGGTGAGACTGGATGCTCAGATGCGTACTAAGAAAGCAGCAGAGGAAGGTGGAAAAATCTAGAAAAGGTTCCCAGTCATACTGATAATGTAACTGCCACCACCAGAGGAGGGACAACAACTGGCAGCTGAGCATATCACAAGTGGACATGAGAGCAGGTGTGTGTTGGTGGCTCAGTTGAAACCCAGGACTGGAAAATTTTTCAAGGTCAAATATTTAAGTGTCATTTTTCAAGCTCAGCACCCAGAGGCAGCGGTCACCAGCAGGTACCCCCATATCTCCTACCTGTCCAGCCTTCGACACTGGAAGTGTATAGATGACAGTAATAAAAGCACACCAGTATTGTCTGGCTCTTGTCTCCAGAGCTGCATGCAGTGTCTCTCAGCTGCCTCAAAATCTCCTGCCTGATATTCTCGATGTGCCAACTCAGCTAACCCTTGGAAGGAAAGCATACGTTTCGTTGGTTCTGGAGAATCATCAAAACATTTGAGGGAAGGAGGGGGGGAAAACAAAAAGTTAGAAATGCAAACAAAAAAATGTAAAAATATGGTCTATTAAACTTAAAGATGAAGACGCTTGAAACTATGTAAAGCACTAGAGTGTTCTGCACGTTTTTCATACCAAGTTAACATTAGGTGCAGAATTGGCATTTTTAGAATTCACCCATCGACTTTCTTTCCCAGACCTAGGTAGAAATATTAGCTTCTAAAAACGATGGCATTTTACGAGCATGAATACCATATATTTTTAAACGATAAATCAGAGATTCTAACGACTGTTCCTTTACAGTTAACATACTGAGACAAAATATAAAACATGTGATCTGCATGGT